AACAACACCCCCCCCCCACCCCCCCCCCAATGATGGACAGTGCATAAGTAGCAAGGATGGCTCGTGTCCCACCGGTGCACCAGCTGCTGATGCTGACACCAGGACTGCAGCAGCGTGCATCACCCACACCCCTGGCACCTGGCATCGCACGCTGCGTGGGTCCCCCAGGCCTGTCCCTGGCGAGGGGCCAGCTGAGCTGTATAATCCCTGGGCAGGATGCAGCCATTGGGTAGGGTCAGGCACAGGAATGGGCTAAGCGGGGTCTGCCCTTGCTGTGTCGATGTGCCAGGAGCCCTGGGGACCCGTCACCGAAGGGCCTCAGTCTGGCAGCAGGACCTGCTGCATGCCAGGTGCACGGGCCACACAGCTACGCCTCAGGAGCTACTGCAGGGATTTGACAATAGCCCTCAGGGCATGGGGCATCTCCGTGACAGAGGGAGACGCGCTGTAGAAGGTGTTGGTGTGATTTCTGCGCTGCTCTCGGAGGTACGGAGGGACAGATGAACTTTTGATGTGGAGGATCCTGGTGTCCATCACTTCGCAATCGATCTGCATCATCACCTCGTAGTCCTGCCCATTGATCACATTCTCTGCAAAACACATTCTCTGCAAAAGTAAGAAAAAAAAAAAAAAAAAAAAAAAAAAAAAAAAAAAAAAAATCAGACTTAGCCCTGCAAGCTAGTGACCTAATGGCACCAAAACCAGAGCTTTCTGGACCTTTTCTTTTCTGGAGCAGGAGCTGGAGTGGGGAACCCCTTCATTTTTGCAGCTCCACACATGGAGCTCCATCTCACACAGTGTGGCCCCAGCTTGGTCATGACACTTCAAAGGGCCCAGGCCACGCTTAGCATGTGCAGTCACACCTAGAAATTAATGTAAGTCTTTTCCACTTCTTCATCTGCACATAATTACTGATGGAGTTTGCCTTGTATAACATTTATTACTGAACTGTTGTTCTTGAGCCACTAAAGCATAGGGGTGATTGAAGATAGGGCTTATTTAAGAAAGCTGAATGTTTCATTTTCTTTTTATTGGTTTAAGAATACTGTAACCCTCTTGACACTGATGATCTAGAAGAATTTCTTCACAAGATTATTAATAAAAAAAAAACAAACCTCAAAATATTCTCTCTCAAAAGAATTAACTGCACCTCATTACCATGCTGACCTGGCTGTTGTACTTGCATGACATTGTAGTGTGACACTGGACAAGGTCATTACCCTTGAGAGGCCTCCAGTCATGGGGAGACCCAGGCCAGCACATGGGACCCTGGCGCAAGGGCATGCCGGGCTGCACCACCCCGGCGCAGCCCCACGCTGGGCACGGCTGCTGCTGCAGAAGCTCCTGGGCTTGCAGGCAGAGGCTATGCACATGGCCAGCATCTGCTGCCTGGATCTAAAGGTGGGAGACTATTCCCTGCATAGACAGTGTGTCCAGGAATGCGAGAGCCAAGATCGAATTTCCAGGCACGACCAATCCTTGCCTTTCAGAGTCAGAAATGCTGACTGCCATCGGCAGGGTTTTCTTTCTGTGCTAAGGAGGATGGAAGATCAACTAATGGAAAGCGTATGGATTGGAGGAATGCAATATACATTACTAATTTTTACTGTTTTCCTGGATTAACTCTGACTCTGGATGACAGCTGACAACCGCAGCCGGACCCTCTTGTACCCCACGCCACCTGTAGAAGCCATTAGATCAGCTATGTCTGGTATAGTAATGAAAAGCAGGAGCAAACCCTTGCTAAGGAGGCTGAGAGCCTGCAAGGGAAATCAAAGCTCCCACCTGCAGAAACGAAATGGAAAAAGCTCCGTATGTGCCACTGAGTGGCCGAGGCCAGGAGCAGCTGTGCATGTCCCTGTGCCACTGATCCAAACACCCCGACAAGCGCCTTGTCCCTCCTGGCCGCGGTGCTGCTGATAAAGCCCTGCCATAGCTTCAGGTCCTGTGTCCACAGGTGGGACCCTTTTTGAGGCCATCCCTCCAGGTCACTCCCTCTCTCATCCTTTGGATGTGCTCTTGGTTCTCACTCAACAGGCTCAGGACCAGACAACGGAGAGGGCTGGGCTGGTGGTGCTGCTCAGGACAGGGGCTGCACGGGGCAGCTGGGGGCACAAGGAGAAGCTGGTGGGGGGGTAAGATTCTGGCCTTTGGGCTGGAGAGAGCAAACGGGAACAGATCAGCTCCCTGTGACACAGCAAGCTGAAAACACAGCTCCTCAGCTCTCATGTTGCAGACAGCTCAACAGGACCCCAGCTCTGTGGGAAAATGTGCTCCAAAGCCACACATGGGTGAGGTGGGATGGGACGGCAGCCAGGGCCAGGAAAACCTCTCGGTAAGGCAGTAAGACTTTCCCGCGTCTGCCCGCAGCAGCCAGCACAGCGGCCTATCGTTAGGTTCCCTGGCAGTGCACAACACGGAGGAGAACAGCAATCCCGGAGAGCAGCCCATGCGAGGGAGGGAGCTGCACTGTGTGGGTGGCAGCGGGGAGCATGGGAACCGGATCAGCCCATCTCAGCCAGCCAGGATCCCGCTTCTCCCAGCGCTGACACAGGCTCCCCCCGCAACTAACTGGATTAAGTAAGCCACAGCTCTGCTACCCTGTGCAAGAGGTGCTGTGTCTTCTGAGGCCACCACAGCTGAGATAGCTGGGAGGAATCACGCTCACAACAAGCCTCTCTGGCCAGCAGGCGTGGAGGGGACTCACACACCCAACTCAGACATTCGCAAAGTGCCTGAATCCTGCCCTGCACGTGTGAATTAGCACAGGAATGACACTTGGCTTTAAAGACAGGTATCCGATTCTTTCCTCTTTTGGGTTGAAGGCACTGTTGATGAAGAGCTGCTGCAGGAAGCCTCTGCAAAGGGTCTCGTCTCACAGGGATGAGGACAGTAGCGGGAATGGCTCAATTCCCACTACAGACATTTCTAGCAGCCTTTCTCATTACTGTTAGCATCAAAATGATGTAGAAGAGGAGGTAGGATTTTCCGCAGAGACAGCAGTTGCTGCTCGGTGATGCTGCTGGGCGCCTAGACCAGCTGTGTTCAAAGGAGCAGTCTGAAAGCCATGCCAGCCCCAAGATGCCTGGCCACCATCGGAGAGCCCTGCCCGGCCCACCCCAGCCCAGAGGGTGGCGGGGCTGATGTTCTGCACCAGCACACGTGATGCTCTCAGCAAAACAACAGGCAAACGTGATCTGAATGCAGCCAGCGCAACCCGATGTTTGGAAAGACTAGCTCACTGTCCAAGGGGCAGGCATTGCAAAAATGATTCCACATGGCTCCATCCTGAGCTCGATGCCATTAAACTGTTTCATGATCTGGATGAGGAATAGAGAGCATACTTATAAGATTTCTGGAAGATGGTAAACTGGAGAGATTTCAACCACCTTGGAGTGTTGGATTAGACTGCAGTTTCGATAAAAGAGAGAAGCTGTCCAAAATCTTTAGGATGCATTTCAACCAAGGCCAGAGCGAAGTACAACGCTCAGGAGAACTGGAAAACATGAGTACAAAATGGGGCCAGGCAGAAGCACTGCAGAAAAAGCTTGAGGACTGCAAAGGATCACTGTGTATAAGCCAAGAGCATGACAGGACTAGAAATTATCAGATTGATTTTAAGAGAAACTGATTTATTTTTGACCAAGTTTCTAATGATAATGAAATATAAGCCCTGGATGAACCTACCTCGGGAGACCAGAGGGTCTTCGTGACTGGCAGTTTTTAAGGAAAGGCTGGACGACCACCTGTCAGACAAGACCTGGGGTACCTGACCCTCCCTCAGCACAGGCACAGGCACTTGCAGTCACTCGTGGTCCCTCTAGCCTTGCCTTTCTGTGAGCTGCAGGTGCCTATTCGTGACTGAAGCCCCTCAGGGTAGACTGTAACCGATCACTACAGAGCCCAGGTTCACAAAGAAGCCGACATACGTCAACTGAGCTGTGATGACTGTCCGTCTGCTCTTTGCTCATGACAAAGACAAGGCAGTGCAACTTGGGTGAAGCCCTTTCAGTGAGATTTGAGCTGACGTTTGCCACAGGGTAGGGAGGCATACCAGCCAGCGCCCACGGTTCAGAAGGCAGTGAAAACACTGCTGTGCCATGTTTCTTTGATGGTCAGTTTAAATCCAATGGCTACGTAGTTGGACACGTTCAACTGTGCTATTCCTAATCCCTTGTCAGCAAGTGGGCAATATCTGGAGTAGAGCTGTGGGTTCTCCAGGGGACCCTGTGGTCTGACCTCATCCACAGAACAGGCCAACAATTCTGCCTTGTGATTCCCGCATCAGACCTTTTAAAAATAGGCTTTCCTTCCTTCCCCTTCCATGGGGCCATCCAGCAGTACCAACATCTGGGAGACACCAATGGAGCACAAGATGGGTTTTCTAGAGAGGTCATGATGAGCGTTGAGCTTGGCAGTTGCGTGTGGCTGATCTCTGGAGGGCTCAGTGTACATAACCAGTGCTTTCTCTTAACGCTCAGGCCAGCCGTGTACCGCACTGGCTGAGCACACACCCATCACACCTCACAGCCCTCTGCAGAGAGGCGGACACGGGCAGGGCTGTCTGTAGGCAGGACCGACAGCTCAAGGTTGCTGCCTGCTGCTGCTGTTCATTTGTTGGCTGGAAGGTCAGCACTGCCAACCTGTGTTACACGGGGCTGCTTAATAGCTCAGAGCAACACTGACACTGAATTATTTCTAAAGTTTATTGTGTTGAATTACCTAGGACTGATATTTTGTGGGATTACATAAGCGAAAACACAGGAACGGATCTCCTGTAGAGGTGTCTTAATTTATAAATAGATTTATTGCTCCTCTTTGAAGTTCAGAACATACAGCCATTCATACGGCCTCAGGCTTAAGAAGCTATCCTTCCCAGGCCAAAAGGCTGTGTTGCACTTAATTATTTGGTAACAGGTTTAAAAGCCTTCCTTCAGATGACAGACTATTTTAAATTAACAGCAAAGGTAATTGTGCCAAGCGTTGCTGTTCTCTGACTGCACCTCCTCAAAGAGGCTCGCTGGCTCTCACAGACTGTACCAAACTCCCAGCACGAGCTTGGTCTAGGGAACAGAGATCTAATTCCCCAGTGCGGCTCTCTAGGGTTTATGGCAGCTCCTCTTAAAAACAAACATGTTGCAAGACCCAACTGATGAAAGCTGGAATCAGCAGTCCAAACCAAGAACGTTTAGCAAATAAGGCGGAGGGTAATAACTACTGTTACAAATTACCAAAGATGATGGAAGATTGTCTTCATATTGAAGTACTAGATTTGCAAAACTGGCTTATTAGAAAGACCATAAAACCAAAGTCCTCCTTCTCCCCTTAGTAGTACTGACACATATCTACCAGTTGAATGTTCAAATGTCTGTTTTTGAGATCCAGCATCTACTTCTATAAGAGATGCTGTCTTAGAGAAAGGCCGAAGACAGGCAGAGGGCTTGAGAGGCAGGCAATGAAAATCTTAGTGTCTGTTCTGCAGTAAGTCAGAACAAACGGTGACGTGAATTGCTTCTCTAGACTCGAACTCTATACACATCAGTGGGCTGTTTGGCCCTGTGGATGCAGTCACAGGACAGGAACAAGTTAT